AGAATCGCTGCTCAGGTGGCCGTCTATGCGCTCTTCCGTAGCCAGTCTAGCTCGCTGTTGTCTCCTGAGTTGGCGACAGGTGCGTTCAATCTCTGGATTCAACGGCAGTAAACCTCCCGACTGGCTACGGGTCATGCACTACCTGCACACACTCAAGCAAGCAAACCCGTGAAGGCACAAGTGGGACAAAGCAAACAAAGGAAAAAGAAAAGCTAAATTAACAGAAATCACTTTTCTTCAACAACCTAGCAGTCCCCGGCAACGGCGCCAAAAACTTGACTCACTTCTACTGTCACTCTAGGAATTAGCCAAGTGAAACCACTTCCTAAAGCGTAGTATAGCGGGTTTAGGTTTAAATGTCAACCCGGGTCCTAGATTTGATGACTACTCAGTGAATTCTTGTTATCTAGCAATGAAACTTTAATGCAAGTCTAAACTAGCAAACTAACAAAGCAAGTAAATTGTTGTATTCAGGTTAAGAGAGGTCACCCGGATATGGTTCCCCCTAGACTGCAGTTAAGCCGGATTGTAATTACCAAGTTCAGTTTCTATGATAGTTATACTGCGGAAGGTTCTTAAACAGCCTGAAGCCTCGACTAAAGGTCTTCAGACCCTCTCAATCTGAGTCTCTAGCGGGCGACTAACCTCCACCGGAGTAAACAGATTGAGGCCTTAACAAACAAAACCTCCACTACCGGAGTAAATCCGGTACATAATAGTGAGTTGGCTCCTCGACTAAAGTCACCAACTCCCTACCTTCAATCAAGGATGCTCTATCAACCTAGGTTAAAGCAGAAACAACAGGAATTTGATCAGGATTCAAGTCATTCAATCATTCAAACCTCAATCGAATATAATCAACTCATAGAATCGGTACTTGGGTTCATACAATCAAAGCCTAACATAAAAATCTAGGGTTCTCCATACCCAGATGAATGGGAGAACTACTCCATGGAGAAAGAAGCAAAAGCAGAATCAGACGCGGAATTCATACTGTGAAGGATGGATTCCTGCTCCTGGACATTGATCGGCACTTCTCCAAGCTCAAACTGACCTCCAATGGTGATGAAGATCAATCTAGGGCACTTGGAGGCTCTTGTTCGTCACTTTCTCTCTCTAGGAATCGCTCTGTCTCTCTAAAACTCGAATTCCCTTCTGTTTGGCTGAAAATCTGCTTAAAAGGGCATCAGTGGCCAAAGCACGGTCGAGGGCACGGCCGTGTAATGCCTCAGCCCGCCCGTGCTTTGGCTAGTGTTAATTACACGGCCAGTGCAATGGGGAAAACACGGGCGTGTTATGGAGAGGATACGGCCGTGCTTTGGTTGACACGGCCGTGCTTTCAGCCCGTGTTTTTAGCCAATATTTGCCAAACCGAATTTGCTCTCGGCAGTAAAAGCATGGCCACAGAACACGGCCGTGTTCTGTTTTAGGTCTGCCCGTGTTTTGGCTTCAGCTTGACGAAATGACTTCCGAATGCCCCGAAACTCGTGCTTAGCCTTCCCTTTGACGCCTGGGACCTGAAACATGACAAAATAGAACAACCTGGCGTAAAATAGGCCAAAATACACGACTATGCCTCTCAAACGGATAAGAATTAGGGGTGCAAATACATGCAATTACATCGTTATCAAAAGGCGATTGATATCTCTTGTGCTAGATCTGGTGTTCTGTTCGATCATCAAAGCAATAACACAAGGTCTTAAAATTGTTAGAAAACAAACAATAGAAACTATGATTGCCAATTATGCCAGAGTCGCAAACTATGTCACTCTCTATAAGACGTTCACGACACTATTTTATATTGCACATGACAGACTATCAGCCAATCGCATCTAGGATAAAATAACCAATCTTTATTACTTTCGGCTTGTGCAAAATTAGAGTTATCTGAGTCTCGCCCTTTTGCGTTTCTTCTCCCTTTACCGTGTCTATAGAGGTTCTTGGGAATTGACTATTAATAAGAGCCGAAACCCTTCGTGTACACTCTTCGCGAGGAATAGGTCACGCTAATTACGTAAGTCAATAAAATGGAATATGGTATTAATTATCCTTCAATACGCTTTTTTATTGTATAGAAAAGGAACCATATAACTAATTTAAAATTTCTACAAAATTTATAGACTTAATCCAATCGGAGAACGCTCTTGTGTGTGGTACGGATGTCTTTTAGGTCCTCCATCTCCTACAAAAGTCGGTCGCCCCAAGCAGTATAACTGATCCTATTGTAGTTTGTGGTCAAATTTGCCTTGTTCTAAGACCAGGGTGGTATTTTCTTAGGGCCTCTCACAACCACTTACTCAGGTGGTGAGGGACGAGTTCTATGGTTTTAAAAGGTGATTGTGAAGGTTGAGATGCCTCCAGGTTTAAAGTTCCCCTTTGTTTTACATAATAGAATGAAAAAAAAAACAGAAAAGTAAAACTATATATAATGGCGAGTGTAAGAAGCCGAAGAATGAGGTCTTACACATGCAAGCTCCTACTATAATTCCTTACACTCATAACATCGATCTTGGCAACATACGAGCTACTTGATCCTAGTGATATCTATTCTTACCTTGTGTCAAAACATTTATCGGAACTGATAGATAACAAAGACCCAATGGATTTCTCTGTTGAAGTGTCGGATAATTCAACTGATTGAAGATTGATCGTGTAGGATGGCCTGTCCGGACTTCATCCTATATGACCAGAATTTTTAGGCATAAATCTCAAAGGGATGTATGTTTCCAGAAGCTCTCAATCAATTGACAATAGATACCACAAAAGAACAAGAAAAAGATAAAGGAATCAAAACATCGTATATATACTAAAATCAAACTTTACAAAGTCTAGAACGTCTAGGGTTCGTCCACCTATGCAACTAAGGGAGCTAGTTGGCCACAGGGACGAGATGCATGGGATACATCAGTCGAAACAAGAATCCCAACGATTTCTACAAATCGGTGCTTAGAACAAAGATATAGGATATTAGGGCGCTGATTCTGGGGCCGATTTGCCTCTAGTAACCGGTGTCACTGTAAGTCATGTTAGTTACTCCATCAACTATGTAACAACCCTCTAATTTCTCCTATCACTAATTACCAAACTCCTCCTCCCTATAAGTCTCTTTATGGACTTTCTCTTGGGGGTTTTTGGGGAGATAGGACGATCATCTAATGCATTTTCGAGTCCCAATCGACCTCTTTTAGCTTCGCCATAATGAAAAATATATTCCTTGAAGACTGGCAATTTCTGGACGAGCCTCAAAATGATAGCCCGAGTGCCATTTTGTTGATTAGGCTACTAATTCCAACACTGTTTTTGTCCTCTCTTCCATTCTTGGTTCTGGATCCTAGTAGTCATGTCTTGAAGTCTCCTAACACTTACAAAGTGGTGTATCAAGTTGCTAAGCCTGAAAACACACGAAACACTACTAAGAATGCATCAAATTGATAAAGTCTAGTCCTAATAGAATTCACTTCCAGTAATCACGTAGCAAATCCAAGATGTTATGACGATAAATGTATGACAATCATGTGAAGTTATGATCATAATATGAAGGTCCGAAAGAGTAATTTTCATGTGTCATCCATACCCTTAAGAGAGAAATATATTCTTGTATACCTTTTGCAAAACTCTATCCAACAATATGGTATTTTGAACTTCACTTATAACTTTCAAAACTATTCATACCAACTGTTGTAATACTTCGTTGCACCAAAAAGTTACTATGAAACCCTCCTCTTATCTTAGGTTTTTACTTTTGTCTCTTTGAGCCATAAAAAAGTTTCACTTTAGTGGAACCCTAAAGTCTGAATGTCCAATACTAAGGCTGATGGTAACTCACAACTAATGAAACACTCCCGTCAAAGTTCAAAAAAAGAAAAAGGTTCCATGTGAGCAATTGAATGGACCCAATATTCAGCTAGGCAACTATGCAACTCAATTATTAACCATATGCCTAGTCCTTTCACTTTCTTATCTTTTTCCACAAGATTTTGGAAGTGCCCTGCAACTTTTAATCATCGTATTAATTAAGTAATAATAAGACAAAAAATTATGTCGCAAAAAGTAAGTAGCTAGCTAGGTGCATAGTGGTAGTAGTGGAGATGAAAATAATTGTGGGAGCCAGAGGAATGACATGGATAAATTTTTCCAATGACGAAGGAACAAAATTAATATTTTAGCTTCAAGGGCAACGTAGCATAAGCGCTAACAAAATTTGTTACTTGGTAGATAGGGTTGTTAATGAACCAAATCGTTTATATTTTAGCTTTAAGGGTAACGTAGCATAAGCGCTAACACAGTTTGTTACATGGTAGATAGGGCTGTTAATGAACCAAGCCGCTCATGAACGGCTCGGCGTCCGACTTGAGAAAAACTCGTTCGAAACTCGATTCGTCTTAATCGAGCCGGCTCGCGAACAAGTTCGTTAACTAAACGAGCCGAACTCGAGTCATACCATGTTCAGCTCGAAAGCTCGCGAACAAGCTTATTTAACGTTTTGGCATAAGAAAAGAATAGAATTCATGGATTTTATGTCTTAAAAGTGGAATAAATATTGTGCTTTGTTTTGCTAGACTTTGCTATAGGTTTGAATGCAATTTTTTGCCCAGTTCTAGGTCAATCTTGAGCTACTATGAACATTTTATGAGCTTAACTCGATTTTGAGCTCGTTAAACTTATTTGACGAGCCGAGCTCGAACCGAGCTCGAGCTTTTTCATTTTCATAAACGAGCTCGAGCTCGAGTTTGGAAATATATTAACGAGCCGAGCCCAAACTATGGCAAAACTCGACTGGGCTCGGATCATTAACCGCCCTAATGGTAGACACTTATATTTTATACATTTTTCCTTTTCAAAATCAATGTAATTTTTCGTCTCCGTCTATTGTTTCAAAAACATTACATGCTCATCATGCTTCCATTATTTCAAGTAACACGTACAAAGACATCATGGCTCATGTTGACATATTAATTAATTAATTTTATTATATAAAGATTTATTGATGTTACTGTTCACTAAGATAGACTTGAGAAAGGAGCTGTGCGCTCTCCTCAGGCTGCGGGGGATGTAGCTAATCACTCGGCAACCATGAGAGATCGGGGCAATTCCCGTAAGACGGCTGACAGCTCGGTGGTCGCTGATGAGGCGGCTGGGATGGAGGCAGTGCACCAGGGGGATCGGATTCGCAAGGGGAAGATGGTGCGGGTGGAAGAGGAGTCGGAGGAATAAGAGCCACCTTATACGAGCTTGGCCGCTGGATTGGTGGACTCATATGCCATTATGTCGGATGAACCTGCGTGTCCGTTTGAAATCCGGGCTCGGGCTCCCCCTTTGATGGAATCGGCTTGTCAACCAGCCGGGCCGGGCCGGGTTAGGCAGGTGATCCAAGCTTTCGAGGCTGTGACTATGGCGGGTGGCCCTAGGAGTGAGATGAAGGAGAATGTGATCCCTCCCTCTTTCAATGAGTATGGCTCGAACAAGGAACTGTTTGGGATGGGCGGCCGGAAGCGTTCGTGGGAGGAGATTATGGGGGAGGGTGAGGAAAACCCGACGCTGAAAAAACAGTTTGTGGAGGAAGTCGATGAGGATACTCTGAAGTCTGTGGAGGAAGCCAGCCGGGAATGGCCCCAGACGGATAAATGAAGATTTTGGCTTGGAATGTGAGAGGAATTGGACCCTCCCTCACGTTCCAAATTGCTGTGGGTCTTGTTCGGTAGAATAAACCGGATCTTGTTTTCTTTTCGGAAACTCGATCTCGTAGGCGTGTCGTCTCACGTCGTTTGCGGGGACTAGGTTTTCAGGTTTCAGATTGTTATTTCGTGGATGCAGTTGATGCCTCTGGTGGTCTAGTTGTAGCTTGGTCCCCTGAAGTTGATGCTTCGGTGTTTTTTCATTCGGATTTTGCTATTTGTACTCGTATTAATGAAATGAATTTTTCTTATGTGGTGGTTTGCGTGTACATTAGCTGTGTTGAGGCGTGTCGTACTGCCCAACTAGCCAATCTTCGCCAGGTGTGTGAAGGTATTCCTCTTACGTTTGTGGTGATTGGGATTTTAACTCTACTCTCCACACTGGGGAGAAAGATGGGGGGACTCCGTGGCGTGTGGGCCAATCGATTGCTTTTCACTCTTTTATCCAGGACTTGGGGCTTCACGACCCTGGGTTCCAGGGAGACCAGTTCACCTAGACCAACAAAAGAATGGGCCAGGCTTGTGTGCAGGCGAGGCTGGATCGTGCCCTCTGTTCGCAGTCTTGGATCGACCGGTTCCCTGAGACTGTTGTCAAACATTTTACAGACCAGGGGTCGGATCACAGGGCTTTGCTGTTATCTGACAAGTTCTATCCTCAGTTATGTCGCCCCCTGTTTCGATTTGATGCACGTTGGGCGGACAACCCGGAGGTTGGGGACATGGTTACCTATGTTTGGCATGTGGAGGAGGTGGAGGGGTCCCCTATGTTTAAGCTCTGGACCCGGTTAAAAAGACTTCGCAATCTTCTGTATGATTGGAGTAGAGCAGGAACGACTAATTCCCATCGGAATATTAGAACCCTCCAATCAGAGATAGATCGCATTAAACAGGTGTCTCCTGTTAATTGGGATGAGGTGCGCGCTCTGGAGAGTGATCTGAGTCGTCAATGGGAAGCGGAGGAACTTTACTGGCAGCACAAGTCGAGGGTTCGATGGCTGCGTAGGGTTTATCATAATACTTCCTATTTTCATACTGTCACTCGGGCTAGACGGAAACGAAACTTTATGGAGGGCTTACGGGATGAGAGCGGGGCGTGGATTATGAAGGAGAAGGGGAAGGCGGATTTGGCCAGTGATTTCTATCAAACCCTGTTCACCTCGGAAAATCAGGTTCCGGATATGCGGGCCAGGGTTGATGCCTTGCCGATAGCTCGCAAAGTTACTGAGGAAATGAATGTCCAGCTCACTGCACCGGTTCCCCATGAGGAGGTACGGCGAACAGTATTTTCAATGGGCTCGAAGCAGGCACCGGGTTCGGATGGCTTCACGGGGAAATTTTTTAAATCCTTTTGGGATATTGTGGGCACGTCAGTGGTTGATGCGGTTTGTTCCTTCTTCCAAACTAGCAGGCTCCTTCGCAGCTTCAACCATACTTGGCTCACACTGATCCCTAAGGTTGATCAAGTGGAGACCATTCGACAACTGCTACCTATTAGTCTGTTCCAGTTTGTGTATAAGGTGATTACCAAGATTATAACTGAGAGACTAGCCCCTTTCCTTCCTCAGATTGTTACGGAAGGCCAAAATGCTTTTATCCGGGAGCGCCAGATAGTGGAGAATGTGCTTATCGGGCATGAACTTATGCACTACCTAAAAATAAAAAATCGGGGGAAGAAAGGATATATGGCTCTGAAGGTTGACATGGAAAAGGCCTATGATAGAGTCGAATGGTCCTTCCTTCTTACGATTCTGGCCAAACTAGGTTTCAGCCAAACCTGGATTGGGTGGATTAGAGAGTATCTCAGTTCGGCCTCATTTTCCATTCTTATGAATGGATCTCCGGCAGGTTTCTTTCGGTCATCTCGTGGTTTACGTCAAGGGGACCCCCTTTCTCCGCTTCTGTTTGTGCTCTGCACGGAAGGTTTTGCGGCTCTCCTACGACGGGCCATCACTGAAGGGAAATTGGAGTGAGTTAAGGTGGCTCCTAGGGCTCCTAGGGCTCCTAGGATCTCTCACTTGTTTTTTGCAGATGACTCGTACTTATTCTTACGAGGTTCCCTTTAGTAGTGCGAGAACCTGATTGTGGTGCTCAATGAGTATGAGGAGCTCAGTGGGCAGCGGGTAAATTTGGGAAAATCGGCAGTGTGCTTTAGCAAAAATATCACCGGACCCGATCAGGAATTTCTTGCCCAAGTTCTGGGGGTAGGGGCGGTGGGTGTCCATGACAAGTATCTAGGCTTACCCTCCCTCATTTCCAGGTCTAAGATGGCCACGTTCCGCTTTGTGGAGGAAAGGTTAATAGCTCGTCTCCAGGGCTGGGCGCAACGCTCATTGTCCACGGCGGCTAGAGAAAACATGATTAAATCTGTGGCTTCTGCACTATCGTTGCATGTGATGTCGTGCTTTAAATTGCCCCTCTCTCTTTGTCGCACTTTGGATAGGCTGGTTGCGCGATTTTGGTGGGGGTGGAGGATGGACACTCTCGCATCCGTTGGATGTCTTGGCGTCAGATGTGTCAAAGTAAGCATGAGGGTGGAATGGGGTTACGCAGATTTGAATTCTTTAATCAAGCTCCTCGCTAAGATTGGCTGGCGGATTCTGACGGATCCCCAGTCCCTCCTTGCTCAGGTGTACAAAGGGAAGTATTTTCCACGTGGCAATTTCCTCTCTGCTACCCCCCATTCTCGTCCGTCTTGGGGTTGGCAGAGTATCTTGTATGAGAGGCAATTGTTGGAGCAGGGCATTAGATGGCAGATTGGGAATGGACGTGGAGTGGCGGCGTTAACAGTTAATTGGATTCCTGCCCTTCACCCGAACCCTCCCATGTTTAACCCTCGGATCCTTGCTGGGGACGGGGAACTGACGGTGGCCGAGTTCATTTGCCCGAATGAGGGGTGCTGGTTGCGGGAGAAGCTTGAAGTGTGGTTTCCTACTGAGATATGTCGTGCTATTCATGGTATTCCATTACCAAGAAGAGAGATGGAGGATAGGCTTGTTTGGCATGAGACGGGGGATGGGATTTTTACGGTAAAATCAGCTTATCACCTGGCCGTTCGCATGGACCAGCAGGCTGGGGGTTGGCGCCCAATGGTGAGTTGGATGGACCGGGGGAGTTGGAAGCGGGTGTGGAACTTGGCTATACCGCCTAAATTGAAAGTGTTCCTATGGCAAGTTTTGCATAGGTTCCTACCCACCATGGAAGCTCTCATTGATAGAAAGGTGGATGTTCATCCTCGATGCCCGGTCTGCTGGGTGGCACCGGAGACGATGGAACATTTGTTTTTCGACTGTTGCGTGGCTCGTGCTTTGTGGGATTTAGCGGGCCTGGAGCACATGGGCCAGGGTCTCCCTCGTCTCATGTTTCATCTCTTTCTCAAGAACCTTCTGGCCGTTGTTAGGGAGCCTTCCCAGGTCATGGCAGTTGTAGCGTTGCTTTGGCGGATCTGGAAGTCTCGTGATGGGGTTGTCTTTGAGGGCAAGCAGTTTGGGTTCCCAGCCCTTTTACGGCAATATCATCAACAAGTACGGGAATGGGATTCGCGTCCTAGGGAGCTGGTGGGGGCCGCCTCTGTGCAGACCGTCCCTGTCGCCCCCTTGGTCATCCTATGTCCTTTATTTGTAGGTGGGATGGGGCTGTTAGACGGGGGTCCCACTCGGCCGGAGGGATGGTGCTTCTGGACCCAGCGGGGAGTGTTGTTGGAGTGATGGGTGTGTGTTTTCCGGAGGTTGATGATCCGATGCTAGTGGAGCTTTTGACCCTCCGGGGGCCATCCTGTGGTGTCGCAACAAAGGTCTTCTCCATGTGCGTTTTGAGGGGGATGCTAAGGTGGTGGTGGATAGGCTTAATATGGCTCAAGGAGGTGATAGTAGAGCAGGTGCTATTTTCCGAGAAGTGTTGCTCTACCTCAACGAGATTGCGGGGTTTAGTGTTCGGTTCGTTGGTCGGCGTAATAATAGGGTAGCCCACTTGGTGGCTAGGAAGACCCTTTCTTTGTACCCGATAGCGAATCGTCCTTTTGATTTTATAGCCTGGTTAAGGCATGTGATGTAATGATCTATTCTTGAGTATCAATATATGATTATCTTTTGTAAAAAAAAAGATAGATTTGGTTGAGTTCAAATGCATTTGACCATCTCAGAAAGGACTTCGGCTTCCTAGCTTCTTTTATGCACTTGGATTTGGGTTAGTTTTGCACTGAAATGCACCTCCCAATTATGTTTTTTCCCGAATGTGTCTCATGCAACAATGCTATATTTTTTGTTTTTTCCCTTAGACAACCCATATCTAGAAGTCCAAAATCAGATCAACCCTATGAGCGTTTCATTAGTGTGTTTGTTTCCATTTATTTTTCATAAGCCCCCATACTCATAGACTAAATTCTCAACTATTTTCCGACGTGGTTCCCACCTGCAGGTCCTACATTCTAGCATGTTGTTTCGATACTCCTAACGTTGCCCTTGATTTGAGACTGGCAATGATCAAAATCCAACTAAGGGAAGGAAAAAGGAAGAGGATTTCCAGCTTCTTTTTGTTCTCTCGGGGGTTTCAGTGTTTGCAAAACTATATTATACTAACGATTCGATTGAAAAAATTGCCTACTATAGTTCAAGTGAACAATGGTTAAATCACGATTTAAACACAAAATACTATATCACTTACTTTTTAATAAAATAGTTAACAATCAATCTCAGAAAAGCTACCATCATGAACAAATGCATTGAACCCATTAACAAACAATCCTCCTCCCTGTGGCAAAACATCCCTCCAAGTCCTATTTCTAGGATCATAACAAATCAAACCTCTCCTCTTGTACTCCAGCAAGACCTCTCCATTTCTCATTACCCACAAAACCCGAAAATCCGAGGTTTCGTGAAAATAAGTGCGCGATCTCCTCGCTGAACCAATAGTATCCGACGGAATTGTTTCATCACCATCACGATTAATGTCGACCCCGTCAATGTTAATCTCATTAGCCCAAGACTCCTCCGCGCCATAATCCATCATTACCCAAATCTTGATCTCCCCACCAACATCATACTCTACAATGCCAAGACGAGCTCCAGCGACCATTAACTCCAACTTACACCGACAGTTCCTTTCACACGAGCAAATCGGAGGCATAGGGACCTCCCGAACTACCTCGTCGGAGAGATCAAACGACACCACCACATGCTTGTTGGGCCCTCGAGTCCTGCGAAAAGCAGTCCAGTGAAGCCGGCCAGAAACGAGCACCTGGTGAGCCTGGTGGACG